ATTTTAGCTATCGTGAATAATGCTGCAATAAACATAGTTGTGCTGGTAGCTTTAGTACGCCCTTGTTTGTGATCATTTGGGTAAAAGCCCAAAAGTGGGATTGCTGGGTCATAAGGTCATAGGGTTGCTCTGTGTGGAGTCTTTTCAGGAACCTCCATACTGCCTTCCAAAATGGTTGAACAAGTTTATACTCCCATCAACAATGCAGTAGGTTTCCCTTCTGGGCACATCCCCTCTAGCATCTATTGTTATTAGCTTTCTTGATTATACCCATTCTAACTGGGGTGAGGTGGAATCTCAATGTTGTTTTAATTTGCATTTCTTTTATGGCCAGAGAAGTTGAGCATTTGTTTATTTATTTATTTTAATGTAAAAATACCATACAGAGGGATTACAGTTACATGGGCAAGGTAAGGAGTACATTTCTTTTCAAGCATTGTTGCCTCCTACTTTGTTTCCCCTTCCCATCCCTTCCTATCTCCCACCCCTCCACCCCCAGCCAAAGTTGTGAAGCTACTTTTTCCACATAATGTCTTGTACATCTCATTGTTGCAATGGGTCCACCTCTATCTCTATTTAAATGATTTTTTCCCTTCCCCTCCACAAATTATACCAACATCAAATACAATGAAAGCAGGGGTTATACCTTGGGGGAGGGACATACAAAGCAACAAAGCAATTATCTCATAAATATGTTAGAAACAATCACAAGAAAGGAAAAAAAACACTTGAATACTTATCTTGGGGTTCATTTCACCTAACATCAACTTATCTGACCTTTTCTGCTTGTCTCAGACATATACTAGTTTTTGTGCTCTACCACCTGAGCCACAGCGCCACTTCCGGTTTTCTGAATGGTTTATTGGAGATAGGAGACTCACAGTCTTTCCTGCCCAGGCTAGCTTTGAACCATAATCCTCAGCCTCCTGAGTAGCTAGGATTACAGGCGTGAGCCAAAGGCTCCCATCTTGAAGTTGAGCATTTCTTCATGTGTCTACTCACCATTCTTATTTCTTCTTCAGAGAAGTCTCTCTTTAAGTCTTTATCCCACTTATTAATTGGGTGGTTGTTTTTTTGAGGATTTGTTGTTGAGGGATTTGATTTTTTGAGTTCTAAGAATATTTTAGATATGAGACCCTTGTCTATTTCTTTTGTCAAAATATGTTATGAAAATGTGCACTGTTGCTTCACACCTATAATCCTAGCTATTCATGAGACTAAAATCTGAGGATCATAGTTCAAACCAACCCAGTAAGGAATATATATGAAGCTCTTATATCCAATTAATTAACAACACCAAAAAAGAAAAAAAACATAAACAAAACTAAAAGAGAAGCTGTACATCACGTGGTAAAGCATTAGCCTTGAGTGAAAAAGCTAAGAGACAGTGCCCAGATCCAGAGTTTGAGCTCCAGTACCACCGCATATACACAAAAACTGTTATGAATCAAAATTCTTAATTTTGGAATTATAGTAGGTAACTGTGTTTGAATACACAAATAGAAATCTTAAAAATACTTGACAATATTATTTCTAAGTGAAGTGATTTAAGTGAAAAATAAAAATCATTTGCCAATCTTTCCAAGTTGTGAAGCACAAAACATGGTGAATTATAAATTGCAGTTCTATCATTAATACAGATCCTAGGCTATAAAGTCGATGCAATGGTTTTCTATTATATATATATTTAATCTCTCTGACTTTTGAAAATAATTTTATTACAATTATGAGATGTTGAAAAAAGCTGGGGGTTAGAATGGGGGAGGTAGTTGTGGAGATGGAAGGGAAGGGATGGTAGGGGGAAAAGCAAAGGAGGAGGCAACAATACACGGCAAGAAATGTACTCATTACCTTGCTCATGTAACTGTAACCCCTCTGTACAGTATTTTTACAATAAAAATGTGCAAAAAAGCTGGTATGATTGTGGGCTAAAAATAATATATGAAGTGAATTCCTAGTACATACCACTGAACTCTCATGAGCTTTCTTTTATTTCTCTGCAAGGACATATTTCTGTGTCAATGTTTCTTTTGTTTGTTTGTTTGTTTGTTGTTTTTGTCAGTTGTGTGGCCTGAACTCTGGGTCTGGGCACTGTCCCTCAGCTCTTCAGCTCAAGGCTTGTGCTCTACCACTTGAGCCACAGCACCAATTCCAGCTTTTTCTGTTTATGTGGTGCTCAGAAATCGAACCCAGGGCCTCACGCATGCAAGGCAAGCACTCTACCACTGAGCCACTTTCCCAGCCCTGTGTCAATATTTTAGGTTACATTTTCTTCTCCCTTTTCTCCCCTCTTTCAATTCTCCTTCTTTCTTATTTCTCATTTTCATATTCTTTCTTTCCCTCCCTCCCTCTCTTCTTTCCTTCCTCCCTCTCTCCGTTCCCTCCTTCCTTCCTTCCTCCCTTTCTCTTTTCTTTTCTCTTACTTCTTTTCCTTTAGTAGTTTTGAGTTTCCTTCTTTTACCTGCCAGAGGATTGAAACCTGAGTGTGAGAATCTACCAAGCTTTTATCTGTGCCTCTTCTTCACTGGCACTCTTTCCTACAAAATCTTCCCACTGTGATAGTTTTCACACTTATTATCTGATTTCTCACTATGCTTCTTTTGGAACTCCTACTTAAACAGATAAAGTTACAAGGTAAGATAGTGGAGAATTTGAGGAGCTTCCTTTCAGGGAGAAAGGAGGTTGTACTAACAAAACATCAGTATCTCTGCTGCTTCTCATTTCCAAAATTTTATTTCTAATAGATTTCTTTAAGGAATTATATTTGAGTCTTTTATTTCCTATTATTTTATTTTATTTATTTATTTTATTTTTCTTTCTTTTTAAGGAATGTCGAGCTTTTATCATGTTTATATAGGTAGTACTATCAATTGCTAAATCCATATTAGGTAATTATCATATTCTACTAAGCTTTTATATACTAGACTCTTATATACACTGACTCTTATCTCCTTTATATTATTTCCTTGATAGTTTTTCTTGTTTGTTCTTTGAAGACTTACTGGAGCTAAATATTGTAGGAGAGAAAAATACCATTTTTTTCTCCCCTTCAAAGGGTCATGGCTGAGGCTTATGTAGGCTGAGACACTATAAGAAATAAATTATCAACAAGAAAAATATACAAACTCATTTAAAATAAGTTTTATTGGCAAAGAACTTCATCAGGAAATAAAAGCACCCCAAAATGTTTAAAGGGTGTTTACTCTTTTGCTAGGTATATTAAAGTATGATCAGATGTGGAGAAATAAGTGAAATAGGCTAGAACAAAGTAGGCTGGATCTAATGACAATAAACCATGTGAAACTTACCAATGCTTGTTAGTTCAAATTTTTTGGTGGCCTTATTTCTTCAGAGTAAGGATCTTCTTTTCCTCTGGGAATATAGAGGGCATTTTTCACGTGACAATTCTATGATCTGCTTCAAAGAAAGTTCAAAAACAATCTTTCTAGGTTTTATGACCTGTCTCGAGGGGGGGATGATGTTGGGGGGATGGGAGGCGATTCTTAAAAAAAAAAAAACTATGAGGAGAAGGTCAGTGAGACCTCTCTGCTTCTGCCATTTTTTTCATTATGCCAACATGACATAGTTTGAGGTAGCATGTCCTGAACTCTGTCACAATTCAGAAAAAGGAGTCAGCTTGTGAGAAAGCTACAGTTTATTAGTTGAAAACCAACATCTTGCTGGTGGAATCAGAAGATAATAACATTTCTGGCTCCAATTTAGCAGCCCAGTTCTTTTTATTTTATTTTATTTTATTTTTTATTTTATTTGTGAAGATACTGTACAGAGGGGTTACAATTACATGGGCAAGATAATGCGTACATTTCTTACCAAGCATTGCAGCCTCCTCCTTTTGTTTACCCTTCACATCCCTTCCCAGCCTCCCCCCTCCCCCCCAATCCCAATCTTTCTCCTTCCTCCCCTCCCCCCCTGCACCAACGTTGTAAAGCTCGTTTTGGACATGACAACTTGTACTTCTCATTGTTGCAACAGGTCCACCTGGATCCTTATTTAAATGACATGCATGAAAGAAAAAACATTAAAATACATATCTAAGGGTTCATTTTCCTGACATCACATTATCTGACCTTTTCTGCTTGACTCATACATATACTAGATATTAGCAGCCCAGTTCTAAAGATCTTATTCTACTGTATAAGTACCATGAAAATTATTAATAATTTTTATTAATCAAAGTCTGGTGATGTGGTTTAGTGATATTTTTCAAGCAGGAATGAAAGTCTCTGCTTATAATTAATAGCACTAAAACTGAACTATAAGTTCCTATATAGTACATATATCTATATATATATTTTTTGGGGGGGGTGGTCATGGGGCTGGAACTCTGGGCCTGAGTGCTGTCCCTCAGCATTTCAGCTCAAGGCAAGCACTCTACCATTTGAACCACAGGGCCACTTCCAGTTTTTCTGGTGGTTTATTGGAGATAAGAGACTCACAGAGTTTCCTGCCTGGGCTGGCTTTGAACCAAGATCCTCAGATCTCAGCCTCCTGACTAGCTAAGGATTACAGGCGTGAGCCACTTGTGCCTGGCATCTATCTATCTATCTATCTATCTATCTATCTATCTATCTATCTATCTATCTATCTATCTATCTATCTATCTATCTATCTATCTATCTGTCTGTCTGTCTGTCTGTCTGTCTGTCTGTCTGTCTGTCTGTCTGTCTGTCTGTCTATCTATCTGTAGTACATAATTATTATATATACAGTAATATTTCCTGATGGTCTCTTAGATGAAATCCATCTTTGCTTTTAAGGTCATAGGAATCACATTCCTCATGTTAGAGGAAGTTATGTTATTTGTTATGTTTCAGCAATGTGTTTTATCTGATTGTCTAATATTATCACATTAATTACCCTAGTAATGGGGGCAACCTAGGAAATTTCCTTTTAAATTATTAAATGAATAATCCCCACCAGTCTCAGAGGTGCCTTCATCCACTCTCCCTGCTGACTGCTAATCTTTCCTGTAATTGCAGCTCCCAATCCCTGTGCAGCCAACGAAGGCCGAGGCCCATGCTCTCACATGTGTCTGATTAATCACAACAGGAGTGCAGCCTGTGCCTGCCCCCACTTGATGAAGCTTTCCTCAGACAAGAAGACCTGCTATGGTAAATTTCCCACACTTCTTATCTAAGAACAAAATTGAATTCTCTCAAGTTGTATTAGTATTCAGATTTTACTCTTAGTCAGGTAGAAGAGGCATATAACATCTTTAAAAAAAATACAACATTTTAGGTGTTTCTATTTCCAGCAGATATTGATGATTCAACTACTTCTGTAGAGACTGACAAACTCTTTAAATATGTGATAGGTTGTGCTTTGCTATTTATTATCTTATTCATTTTTTTCTAGCTACTTTCTTATTTGGTATGTTAGTAGAATTTATCTCTGTGGTACAGGGAGATTTGTAAGTGGAAGTGGATTATTAGAAAATGATGATGTGGGTAACCAGCATAACAAAGGGGTATTTACTAGCTTTAATCTCCTGTTCTTATTCCAAAGTCATTTTAGAACCATTTTGTAAGAGCTTATCAACTCAAAAGAGTAAAAAATGAAGAAAAATATATAACTTAGGAAGATTTCTTTCAAAACATTTAAACTGAGCTAGAGAAGTAGAGTGTCCATCTAACAAAGCACTGTCAACCTTCTGAACCTGGAGTTCACATCTCAATGGTAGAATAAATAAAGATTTAACCTAAAAATGATAATATAACAAACAAAAATTGTATACAATTTTATTTAAAAAGTTTATATATAAATAAAATAACTTTTAATCTTTAAAGACAGTAAATAGAAATTAATTCTAGGGTTTTGTTCCACTCAGCTAGAATTTTATGAAATAACCTGACTTGGAATAGATGGTATTGTTTAGGTGCAATTTCAGCTATTCCAAAGGGAAAGACAGGAGGATTAAGAGTCCAAGGCCAAAGGCTGGGAAAGTGGCTCAGTGGTAGAATGCTTGCCTTGTATACATGAGGCCCGGGGTTCAATTCCTCAGCACCACATAAGCAGAAAAATTCGGAAGTGGCACTGTGGCTCAAGTGGTGGAGTGCTAGCCTTGAGATGAAGAGCTGAGGGAGAGTGTCCAGGCCCAGAGTTCAGGCCCCACAACCAACAACAACAACAACAAAAAAAGTCCAAGGCCAATCCAGACAAAGTTATCAAGCCCTGACATCAAACACAAAATATAACCTTGGGGGTGTGGCCTAAGTGATACAGGACTAAGGAAAGATACTTGGTCCAATTCACAGTACTGCCAAAAGCACCATACAAATCTGAGATAATCACCACAACATAAAGGTAACAGCCAACATAAAGATAACAGCAAGTAGTACAATAACTGTAGCACTGCTTTATGTTTGATTTCATGATTCTACAAACTCAATGCAAGAAGAGTACCTTTGACAGTAAAATGATTCAATGCCTCTCAAATTGTGAAATTTATAGTTACTAGATATTTACAACAAAGCATGCTTTAAATGAGTTGAGTATTTTGATGGGTCAAGGGGAGGCATAATATATTTTTTTTTCCTTAAGTAATGCTTTAATTTCATTTGTTTTTAGTGACAACATGGGGAAAAATATTCCTAGATTTCATTCAAAAGCATTTGCTATGTTTTATGCACCACAAACAAAGATGGCTGTTTGACATTTGCAAAGCTCATGTGCTTCACAAGTTTTCTTGAAATTCTAATTTCAAATCAATTGCTGAACATTTCTTGGCATTTTGAGCTAAATAAAAATGACTTGTAAATTTAAACTTGTTTTAATTTTGTTTCTACTCTGTACCTTAAAGTAGATCATTTCTACATAATTTTCATCAAATATTGATGTTTCTGGTGTTAAAAAATCTTTCAAATTATGCAAAATTAATATCTTAATGCCTAGACTCTTTTAAGCTTGTATAAGAAAATTGTTTCATTTCCATTCCTTTTCTAGAAATGAAAAAATTTCTTCTGTATGCAAGGCGTTCTGAAATCCGTGGAGTAGACATTGACAATCCATATTTTAATTTTATCACGGCCTTCACAGTACCTGACATTGATGACGTCACTGTGATAGACTTCGATGCCTCTGAGGAGCGTTTATACTGGACAGATATTAAAACACAAACCATTAAACGAGCTTTCATTAATGGAACTGGGTTAGAGACTGTTATTTCAAGAGGTAAAGGATATGTATGTCTTTACAACTTTTAAAATGTTTGTAAATTAATTTGTAATAACTACAGTTCCTTTTATATTCTTTTCAACTTTATTTAGCTCTAGTTTGGTAACTGAAGTTGGAATTGATTATTCAGATTCAATAATGTATTCTAACCCGGACACTGGTGGCTCACTCCTGTAATCCTAGCTACTCAGGAGGCTGAGATCTGAGGATTGCTATTCAAAGCCAGCCTGGGCAGAAAAGTCAGTGAAACTCTTATCTCCAATAAACCACCAGGAAATGGTGCTATAGCTCAAATAACAAAAAAAAAAAAAAATAGATTCTATCCTCACAATTTTAAATGCTATAATTAAGTTGGACATTCAACAGACTGATTACTAGAAAATTTGCTTTTATGCAAAGAAAAGAATTCAAACAAATCTCCTTAAAATTTAAAGATAAGCTGGGCGCAGGAGGCTCACGCCTGTAATCCTAGCTACTCAGGAGGCTGAAATCTGAGGATCACAGTTCAAAGCCAGTCTGGGCAGGAAAGTCTGTGAGACTCTTATCTCCAATAAACCACTTGAAAACCGGAAGTGGCGCTGTGGCTCAAGCGGTAGAGCGCTTGCCTTGAGCTGAAGAGCTGAGAGACAGCGCCCAAGCCCAGAGTTCAGAGTTCAAGCCCCACGACCAACCAAAAAAAAAAAAAAAAGATATCTAAACAAGCAAATTTACATACTTTTGCTTCTGGCAAAACATTACTTGTATAGAGAAAATACAGCAGATCCAGAGGACTGCTTTCCTTAATATGAAATTCCTATTTTTCTTTTCAGCAACACCAACACTAACTCTTGACTCAGCAAGTTGAATCTCAGGATCTCAATGAATGTTGTTGAATAAAGTATTCAAAATAATAAACTCACTAGGTTCCAGTGTCTCATGCTTATAATTAGGAAGCCAGGATCTGATGATCTGATTCATAGCTAAACCTGAGACAAATCTGAGACAATTTTATATCCAGTTGACTAGAAAAAAAAAATGCTAGAAGTAGAGAAAGCACTAGCTTGAGCAAAAATGCCAAGCAAATCACTCAAAACATGGAATTCAATCCCAAAAAACTCTTATTAGACAAAAAACAAAACAAAACAAAAAACACAATAATTCTTCCCAAATATAGAAAACACAATGAGATAGACATGTAAATACAGTGGTTGTACTATAACCATGTTGCCTTGAATTCTTTTATTTTTTGCTCAGATTTTGGCATATTATAATTTCTGGGTCAGTTATTGCTTTATTAAGTCATCTTTGAGCACTTCCTTCTTATGATATTTACAAAGTAAACAGGATCCAGATTCTCTGTGACTGTGTGTCCCTTGTATTTGGTAAAAGGATCCAGAGATTAATGAAGGCAATGTATAATCAGTAATCCATACACTTATCCAATATTGATACTTTGAAAACCACTGGAAATTTTAAATCAGAGCATATTTGAGTAATGATCCACAAGATGAAAGCAGTAAGATGTGTAACTTTAACTCCAAATCCTTTTTAAAACACTTTTCCACACAAACTGAAGGGGTAGCTTGAGTACCAGTAGCCGATCTGAACAGTACTTTACCTACTAAAGTACTCTTGTGTTTAGGCTAGCTGATCTCGTCAATACTTTTAAAGCAACTTAATAAGTGAATTGGCCATAAGCTTGTTCAAATATTAATTCCAAACTATCCAAAAGGAAAGTCTTTTAAACAGCTAATGCAAAGCTTTCCTCTTTGTATAGGACATATTTTAGTGTTTGGTTGGAATATTTAACAGTGTTTGAATAAAAGTTATTAAAATACTTGGAAAAACAGTAAAAACAAACTGATTTACTGGTCTTCCCACAATATATGTAAGCTCTTCATCATGAATGTAACTGATGTCCAGGAGACTGTGAATTGTAGAGAAATAAACAGTTGGGGACAATATTATCTCTAATTATGGACTAGTATCTATACATCCTTTGATCAGTGTATCTTTGAGAAAAGCACAAAACTTATTTCCATTTAGCACCTTCAAATAATAATAAAAAGTTCATCAGCCTTCTTAGGACAAGTTGTTGATTTGTTTGTTAATATGAAAAATAGTGGGAATCAAAGATGTGTTTTTTGCAAGATGGGCCAGCATTGCCTTTGGAAAAGGACCCACTATCCAGGAGAGAATGCTAGCTTGGGGCAGTACCAACAAATGTGCTCTAGGAGATGGTTAATCGGTTGCTTTTGTGGCTCTAGTAAGAGATGATAGAAAGTTGGACAAGGAAAGCATAAAACAGAGAATGAGGAATGTGTGCACCTTATAAACATATCAAATAATACAAATATAAAGGAACAGACAAATATTTGGACCTGAGGTGGAGGAAAGAGCTTGGCATTTGTGTCATTTGTTCACAGGTGCAATTATACTGCTTGTTTATGTCTTCCAAAATTAAATTTTATTAAAGAATGAGATCACTCTGCATTAACAGAAAAATTTGAAATGAAGTTTTCACAGTTCAGCTTCTGAACTCATCAAAGGATCTGAAATCCTACCAGTAATAGTACTTCTAACTTTCCATCTTCTAGATTCCCTGTGAATGACTCTGTGGACACCTCACTCTTTCTGTATATTTTCTCATTTAACTGTTATATCTCTCTTGGACCCTTCCTCCAGAGACTTTATTTGCTTATTTTCTTTAGTCCAACTCTAATGTGAAATAAGCTTCAAACAAGACTCAAATACGGTCCCACTATGTCTCATTGTTTTCTTTCCAAGCAGATTATGTTCTGAGGTAAATACTGATATTGCCCACATAAGTTATTTGTTCTACTGATATCTTTGAGCACTATAAGAATGAACACAAGTTCATTACTATAGGCATATTATGTTTGTAATGTAACAAAACCAACTATCTGCAGTATATAGACATGATCACACACACATACATATCATTTCCTCTCTCATGGAGACCAAATGTAATTGTGTCTTGGTAGTAGACAATAGCTATAATTTGTAGTGGGGAATAATTCTCTTTAGTCACCACTTCATGGTCCATGTATATATCAATTATTTGTATCTTCAGGTTTATTCATCTGATGTAACAAACAATATTGTCAATGCTTAACTTCATCTGATACATACAAACTCATTTTTAGGAATGAATGTTCTCTATAGTGTTGAGAAAAGCTTATTGAAGCTGAAACTGTCACAAATTCAAAATGAGGGAATGACAGAGACAAATTTACATTCAGGACTATACTTTATTTATAGCTTTCATCACCCTTATTACCTGAAAACATGAATGTTTGGATAATCCCAACTTTCTAATGACTAACCACATTCACTGATGCTATTTTCCTTGTAAGGTGGTTTCTCAGAGCTATTCCCTTCACGGTGCTCAGAAACAATATTGGACTTGACTGCATTCTAGATTTCCTTACAAAATTTAAATTCTGTTGTAATCAGAACAGAAAGGGAAAGGAAATATTGATAAATCTGAACATTTCTAATATAATCTAGGAATAATACAGCTGACTTTTTACCTTTTTATCTCTAATATCCATGTTTCACTTTGTTCCTTTGTACTTACATGAATGAGGGTGATTTTTTGTTTCAGCTTTGCTATTCTTAGAGACATTAGAAATTTGCACTTAGATCTTGTGACCCCAAAGTTGTGACCCCAAAGGAAGAACTTTAGCAAGTTAGAGAAAATAGGTTTCAATACAACTATATACACAGGGTTTATACCTAATGTCTCTTTCTACTCTGCAGAGATTAGATAGTAATGTCTTGTAAGGCACAGAGGTCAGTCAAGCTAACTCTGAGCCCCACACTTGATTAGCTTGCTTGGTAGGCACTGTATTTTATGAGCTACTCCTCCACCTTAGCTTTTTGCTTGTTATTTTAGAGATGAGGGTCTCATGAAGTTTTCTGCCTGGGCTGGATTTAATTGTGTATTCTGAATATACCACAATCAACAGGTTTTATTATACTCCTTCAAGACTTAGCCTTCTGAGTAGTTAGTATTACAGACATGAAGCACCAACACTCTGCAAATTCTGGCTTCTCCCACCTACAGTTGACTATGCTTTAAAATTTAAGAATAGAATATATTCTCTTCATTGTGATTGAGTCAACCAAACTGAATAAACTGACTTTAAACAGCAAAGTCACCAAAAGAGCACATACATTAGGGAAATTAAAAACTCACGTTATTATTTTTTGCCAATATCAACTAATACAGAAGTTGAGTGCAGGCCAGGAAGGGTTAATTCACAGATACTGAATGAAGGAATATATCACTCATGGAAACTTTAACTGTAAAGAAGTGTGTATTACTGTTGCCTCAAAAAAAAAAACAGGATAAATAATTAAAAATAAGAAGATATTCGAAGTATGAGGTTAAACAAGGAAAGCAGTTCAGGTTGGAAAATATTCAAGTTTACTAATGAATAAATGATGGAGACCTTGCAAAGGCAGCAGGTTGTTGATCTAAGAACTGGAAACATGAAGACTATTTTCTAAGAGCTCTGTGGTTGAAAAGTATTTCAACATAGGCAAGATATTTTTGAACATAAAAGTTGGCTCCGTCAAGATTCGAGAATCCAAGTATAGTAGAAACTTTTCAATCCAGTTTTTTTTTTTTCCAATTTACAACAGACCTGGAACTGTTGAAATTCAATGTGTTTTGATTTTTTTTCGTTTTCCTTTGTGGTTGCAGAGTGAAATTAAAGGATCATAAAATGGATTTAGCTTGTCTTGGATGCTGAAATAATTGGCAACTTTTACATATCTGTAATTTCTCCCTTTTTCAAGATGTTTATTTGCAAGAAAATAAATTCATTTTTTTTTGCTTTTTTGAAAAGAATAATAGTGAAAGTTCCAGAGACTCCACTGGAATTATGTGGTAGCTGCTCCATGGCTTTTACTAGAACCATTGCCTGGTCACTAGCAGCAATATCAGCTAGTTAGATCTCATAATTGGGTTCCTCCCCAGAAGTAATAAGTCAATCTTTCTTTTAATAGTCTCTAGGGGTTTTTTAAGTCTTAAATACAGAAGTGTAAAGAACTTTAGGAGCACAGTATGATGGAAGATACAAAGATTTTATGAATTATAAAGGAAAACTAAGGCAGAGGACACAAATATCAGAGATTCGGCTCTAAATAAGGTAGATTGATATGTTAATATTTAAAATATTTTCTAGTCAACATCATTTGTTACACTTTTTGTACTTTGTTAGTTAATATGTGCCATTATAAGACCAGATTCAGTTATTGTTTATAAAGAAGCCTGATTCAATAAATCAGACTGTATTGGAAAGTAATTAGGTTTCAGCAATTTCTATAGAGGACACATTAGAGGAATGTTAAAAGGATTTTAGTATTTTTTTTCCCTTTTTTCTTATTGCATTCAATTTCTGCTAATTATCTATTTTGAGAGATGTTCAACTTCGGTGAATTTTAGTAAAGGTAAATTGTTTTATTTCATTTCAGTAAGAAATTGGCAGTTGACATATAAAATAGGCCATTTGTTGATAACCAACAAAAACCTCTGTCCTACCAAGAACTATGAGCTACCAACTTTCAGAGTTATTACTCTAATTTAAATTACAATTACTTTGGACCAATAAGACTTCTGCCAAGGGTTTGCTAGTGAATCATTGATTGTTAGTCTAATTTCAGTACTAATTGTTGCTTCAGGTTTTCAAATGCCTCTGCAGTGAGACATTAATTATTATTCATGCTTTAAGAAGGGCTGATAAGGGAATGAGATTACAATCTTGTACAATTTTGGGTAACAAATTAAAGTATAAATTAAATTTTCCCTTAGGTAGAAATAACTCGCTTGAAAACCAAGACAATGAGAAACTTCATTCACCTTTAATTTTCTTTTTCTTACCTTGCAGACATTCAGAGTATCAGAGGGCTAGCAGTGGATTGGGTCTCACGTAATTTATACTGGATTAGCTCAGAATTTGATGAGACACAAATTAATGTGGCCCGGCTAGATGGCTCTTTGAAAACCTCAATTATCCATGGAATTGACAAACCACAGTGTCTTGCAGCTCACCCAGTCAGGGGGTAAAGTATGATTATTTTTTTTTAAGTTTTTCCACAAAAAATGTCATACTTTTGATCAAATTTTATATAAAAGCATGTTTACTTCAGAAAATATGTACAAATTAGCCATCAAATCAAGAAACAAATTTGAATATATATTTTTTAAATGCTTGATTAGAGATTTCTACTTGCATAAAGTATTTATGTCACCTCACTAATTTATGCTTCTAGGATAGTTCAGAATAAAAAGTGATGTGGAAACAGTCATTGATTTCATTAGACTGTCAGTCATTAATGATTTCTACATGTGGGGTAGTACTGCTAGGTAGATCAGATTTTCCAGATCAGATTTTCCAGTTTCTGGAGAGCCATGACTAGGTGGCTTCAGTCTTGATGAATGACATAAAACAATAAGCTACAGTGGTGTTTTCTTTCCAGGCAAATAGAATATGGTCAGCAAGTTGCTTGATCCTTTTAGGCCTTCTAAAAAAAGACTACTTCTGAGTCAATAATACATTTTGATGTTTATTTCATTCTTTAGTGTATTTTTCTATTTCACATGGAGGTCTATATCTAATATGTTTAATCCATATTTCTGTGAATTAAGGAAACTCTACTGGACAGATGGAAATACAATTAACATGGCAAATATGGATGGAAGTAACAGCAAGATTCTCTTTCAGAATCAGAAGGAACCAGTTGGTAAGTGTCTGATTTGTAATATTAATCACTGCTGTGTCTAGTGGAGGAAACCTTTACTTCAGATCTACACCCAGATATAAGGCATTAATGATCAGTAGCCTAAATTAAATTTCAGTCCATATCATTGTATTATTAATAGATGTTGAAGAGAAAAAATCCCTTGTATTCCTTTCTCCCCCTTATTTGTCATGTGGGCTCTCTGGATGGATGTAATAGGTAAATTTATTCCAGAGTTGATAAATAACAGAAAAGCATGTAGATTTGTTGGATTTGCATGTACATGAGAGTCTCCAGAAGACAATACATTTAAAAAATGCCACAAGCATGATACCTATGCAGTTTATAGGCAATGATGATATCAAATAGAATAGTAAATTCTGAGGATGGTAGTAAGGTGAATATAAAGATGGCTTGTGAAAACTTAAGGAAGATAAACACTGCTTCAGAGCTGTTTCTGCAACCCAATTACAAGACACTGGTGAGATATTTTCAGCTTTGCAGCCAAGTAGCTAAATTTAGAGACATGAGCCATATACCTATTTCAACCATTTACATAAAGAAGTTTAAAATGTAGGAATTAGTTTTCCTGTTTGCACTTTGGCCTCTGATATAGTGTGCATTGTATGATAGGTTAACTGCATGTAAATGAGTCATTATTCAATGAAAAGTATTTAATACCATGTCCATGTTGCTTATGAATGTGTGTGATAATTATTTTAAAATACAATTTCAAAAATATGCTTTAGAAGTTACAAAGCTCAAAATAAAGTATTTTAGTACAATTAACTCAGAATCCCATTACAAGATCCATTTTTAAATCAAACTGGTCATTGCTTTTTGATTATTCATTTATTTAGTAAGTAAATTTTTTGAACATCAGATTATGCAGAAAACCTGATAAAAATTCAACACTATAGTTTGCCTTCAAGGGCACAGAAGCTTAAATTATTTGTTTCTCTTAACTGAATATGTAAAATTGAGATTATATTTGATAGAAACTTTCAAATAAAATATAAGAAAATGTTAGTAATTTTCAATTCTGGATAGTGAACCCATTAATATTTATTAATTTTCTCATTTATATTAAATGCTAGCTCCTCAATGTACTCCCAATACAACTCATCATCATTTAGACAAAGCAAAGTTTCTTGCTTTCCATGGCAGGGAAATAATAATTTAGTTTTGTTTTTTTTTGTGGTAGCTCAAAAGAGGAAAGGAAAAGTTCCAAGAGTAAAGGAGTACAAAGCTGTTTTTACTGGTATATGCAATCATTCTGTCCATAAAATTCTTACAGTTTAAAAATTATTATTATTATTGCCAGTTTGGGGTCTAGAACGCGGGCTGGGCACTGTCTTTGAGCCTCTCTGTGCTCAAATCTAGCACTCTACCACTTCAGACACAGATACTTCCTATTTTATTTTTCACTTATTATTTATTTATTTATTATTATTTATGTACTTAATGGAAGCCACTGATGTACTGGATGTTCATATTTGTGTGATTGTATTCTGGATTGTAACTCACTGATTCATTTTTCTTTTTTGCAGCTAAATCCACATGTGAGACATGATTGAAAGTAAACATACGTCATAATCTAAGCAAAGCACTAACTTGCCATTTTATGTGTGTGTTTTTCTAAAGTCAGAGTAATCACAGCCTGCAGCAGTTTACACTGAATAATGTTGCTCATGTTAGATACAGATCAACAAAATAGTTATCCATTGTTGAAATAAATATTCTCAAATAAGATTTATGGTTCAATCTTAAATTCACTATGTGTTTAGAATAGTTTATATAAGCAAAGATTTTATATACTACTTAAAGCCATTTTTATATTTAAAATGTTTCACATTATGAATTTTATCCCTTAATCCTCAAACAAAGGAATTAAGCATATCAATCAACATTACACTCCATGACATGTGAACAACCTATATTTTATTTCCTTGATGTTTTCTTTACATTTTTGATATAGTCCCAATGGAAAAATAATTTATTAATATTTCAAGTATACATTCTTGAATATATATTAATTTATTTTATAGTAAATATATAGATATGTAATATTATGTATTTTATTTACATATAGAATTTATATTAAATGTATACTCATATACATATATTGTAATATATGCATATATAGATAACCAATAGTGGACTTGAATTTAGGGTTCCAAACTCTCATTTATTTTCCATCATAGATGGTAATCTACCACTTGAGCCACACCTTGAACCTAGCTTTTAGCTGATTGTTGCACATTGAGTCTCAGGCATCTGTGTAGAGGGTGGCTTTAACCCACAAATTTCCAGGTCTCAGAATCTTAAGTATTTAAGGTCACAATTCTGACCCACTAGCATCTGACTATTAGTAGCTTTTGAAATGTAGTCATGGATAAGATGGATGAGGTTCCAAAATCTTAGCTAGAAAAGATAAGCAACATGAACCAGCTCATTAACTTTTCCAAATAATTGTACATGTTGTTAATGACTTTTAAAATAGGATAAATTGAGAAAGGCTGATTTTTCACGAAAAAATATAATAGGCTAAGAGCAAGACTGTTATTAATTTGTGGTTGAAAACTGAAAATTTGTTGAAGGAATTTTAGAATCATATGCAGTTTTAAAAGAAAAAGAAGGAGAGATGTGTTTTCAAGTTATGTTCTGTTATCCTCAATGAGAATATTATGAACAACTACAACATAAAATTACAAGGTGGATATTAACCCCTATATGGTCCACCAGTCTTAGTCATGTTTCCTTTGTACATGCTCTGTGGTTAATTAGGTCTGTTTAATTTTATCATATGTATAGACTGTTATATCTACTATAAAAACTTATTGGATTATTCCAACACCAAAATGACCTTTGGTTTGTCCATCTATGACAACACACAACTTTTCCCTGTCATCAAACTTCACTTTCTTTTCTCTGCATCCCTCTTCCATTTCTAGTATTTTGTCATACCGAAAGGTTTTATAAGTGGGTTTATAGACATTGTGTGGCCATTGGAAATTAGTTGTTTTCCATTTCAAACACTTCCCTGGACATTCACAAAAAATTTCAGCTACCAATCATTGTTTCTTTACTTACTTAGCAGTTTCTTTATCTGCTTATAAGTACACTAGTATTTATTTATTATCCTCCTGTTACATATAAAGTCATTAATAATATTCATGCACAGGCTTTTGTGTAAACATGCCTTTATTTCTCTGGGGGTAAATGTGCAGGAGTGTTATTGCCAGGGAATGCCCATGGTTATATGTGTGTGTGTGTGTGTGTGTGTGTGTGTGTATGTGTGTGTGTGTACGCTTATTTCATAAGAATGTGCCTGAGAATAGTTATCTAGTTACATATTCCCAACAGTTATATAGAATATATTTTGTGTTCTTCATCTTTCATGTTATTTAGTGTTTCCCTAGTTTTTTATTTTGGCCACTTTGATAATTCAGTTTTAGTTTAGTTTTAATTTTCATTTCCTTTCATAGTGAATATCTACATGCTTATTTTAATCATCTCTATTTGTATTTTCTTTAATATTATATCTTATAGTGTGTGTGTGTGTGTGTGTGTGTGTGTGTGTGTGTGTGGGTGTGTGATATTAGAATCAACACATGGAGCTGTGATTATTAGATAGGTATGCTACCATCTGAACTATAACCCCAGCCTATTTTTGTTTTAGTTATTTTGAAGATAAGTCTCTTGATTTTTTCCCAGACCAGAATTAGACCATGCTCCTTCTGCCTATATATCCCACATACAGCTGGTTTATTGAGACAGTCTCCAGAGTAGTTTTGCAGGGTGGCATGGAACCACAATCCTATTCATTTCCATCTTCCAAGTAGTTGGACCACTGCTTTTGGCTTTAGTTAAAAGTTTGAAAAAGATCTAGAGCTATCTATTTTAGGCTCCCTAACTTTTCTTGGACCACAGGTATGCTACTACATCCAACATTCCTCTGGGAAGATGGAATTTCACCAACTTTTCCTGCAGAGCTGGCTTGGAACTAAGGTTCTCCCATTATTAGGTTTCCATGTATCTTGGAATGTTAGGCATGTACCCCTACCTGAAGCTCTGGGTTGAGAAGAGGGGAGGGGTCTCATGAACTTTCAGCCTGCCAAAGCTCAAACTGTCATCCTTTGATCTCAACTTTCCAAATAGCTAGGAATATAGGTATGAGTTGGAAAAACTTTTGATGAGTTTTCTTTTCTTTTCTTTTCTTTCCAGGAGGAAGAATATGTGTAAAATTACTGGGGACTGAACTCCTGGACTTGGGCTAGCTAGGAAGGCATTGTGTTATTGACCCATATCTCCAGTCTCTTTTCACACCTTTTCTGTTCTTCTGTGTGTCAGCACTGTTCTCATGTTGCTATGGATGACAGACATGTGTCACTGTGCCCAGTTGTAGATTGAGAAGGGTCACTTTTTTAAGGTTTTCTACATAGACTGGGTTCAAACTCGGATTAACATTACTCTCAGCCTCCCAACTAGCTAGGATTACCAAATCTAGTTTGGAATTTTGTTTCTTTTGAGGTCTTTGTATATTCTGGTTAATCCTTCATTGGAGGACAGCTGGTAAAGATTTTCTCTCATTCTGTCATCTGCCTTTTTAGACTAGTTACTGTTTGCTTTGTTGTTCTGAAGCTTTTCAATTTTATGCAGTGCCATTTGCCAATCTGTGTTTTTATTTGGAACTACTGAAATCCTGCTAAGGAAAGACTTGGTTGTTACATATATGTTCCAGTGTTTCTCTGACCTTTCCCTCTGCTTCATTGAAAGTTTCATGTCTTAAATGTTCTACACAGGGATCTACATTCAGTCAGATAATAAAACATAAAACATGGAGATATGGTTTACCAATACCATTTTCCACAACATACATTTTTAAAAACTTTGCTAAAATATCAGTTGGCTGAAGCTATATGATCTTAGTTCTGGGTCTTTTACTTTATTCTATTGGTATGTGTGTTTATATTTGTACTAGTGCCATACAGATATGGCAT